TATATCTATATACTCAGACATGCTGATGGGCAGACCACTGCCTAAAAGAAAAATACTGTTTTTCAGGGGAAAACTGTGGGGGATAATTGTATGTGTATTATATTTGTGTGTGCACATCTGTGTGCATCCACATCTGCACCTATGCAGGGAGGTCCCGAGCTGCTGGACTGCAGAAAAGCCCCACAAGCTTTGCACTGAGCCACCCCCTCCATGGCTTTGTGCAGCACAGGAATGGAGTTGTAAGGGCAGAGTCTCACTGCTGAAAAATGAGATACAAGGGTTGCTCGTTACACCACAATAACCTCACGGCCCATGATGGATTTCCCCTGACTTTTTCGAGTGGCATCACCGATATTGATAACAAGCAACTTTGGTGTTGTGGAAACCAGATAAAAATCCAACAGGCCCCCACAGGGAGTCCCTGGGAATAGCAGAGTGTGTCACACACCTGTGTGAGCACATGTGGGCATCTTCACCAAGACCTGCCATACTCTGATTCGAACCCCAGGGGATAAGGATTTTCTGTGTGTGCCTCCTTCTCTGACCTCCTTTAGTGCTGGTTTTGGCAAATGAGTTCAAGAGGGGTGAGTGTGCCCAGGGGTCTGGCTGTGGTGTGGGGAGGAGGTGTCATGATTTTGATCACTATGAGTGTCTCACTGCCTGAGCTCCCGCAGTAGGTGTTGGAGCCCATCAGCAGCATGCTGGGGATACCTGGGCTGTTCCTTGAGTTAGTATTGATTCCTGGCTGGGCCAGTAACTCCCTTGGCTGGTACAGGGGAGATGGCAGAAGCAATCTAATATTAGCTCCCTGATGTTGGGCCAGCTTCTACTAAAATCAGCATCAACGGCAAAACCAACATTAATTTGAGTGGGAAAAGGATTTAACCCAAATTAATATATGCTGGCCGTTGTAATTATCTTTATTGGCTGATAGGGAAGGAAGACCTTATTCACTCAATGCATTTCTATGGCTGCCTGGCTGTGCTCCAGTGATGCACCAGCCTGTGAGCAGACGGGTTGGGAGAGTGGGACAGGAGTGCTGTATCCTTGTATGAGGGGCTGTAATTCACTGTCATCCCCAAATGATTAAATCCTGCTTATTTCAAACCAGCAGGTAATGGAGCAACACCCACAAATATGGTGGGTAGGATTTAGCTCCAGGTGCTTGTTGAAAAACTTTTCATATTGAGTCCAAAGTTCAAAATCCTGATCCCTGTGAATGGCCACAGAGGAAAGCATGCAGGGTTTAGTCAGTGTTAAGCATTGTGTTTTTATACTGGTGAGAAGAGTGAAAATTGAAGAAAACAGCTGAGAAACACAAGAGGACAGGTTAGCTCTTCTAAGTGTTAGGGATGGACATAGACTAAAGAGAAATCCTATTTGGCAGCACAGAGAATCTGCTGGGGTTAGCAGTCTGAAACCTGCTTCACAACAACTGTTTCCTTCTCCAGTAAACCAATACATTGATTAGGATAAGCAGAAAGGATCAGTCTTCATGGAGATCTTCAGGCTGTTTTACCACACTAGTTAGTTCAAATGGTCACAGTTGATATTCATGTTTTTCTCTCCTGAGCTAACTGGATATGACAGCAGACAATGTCATTTAGGGCTTTTTTCTCTTTCTGAAAATGAATTGCTACATGAGATTTCACATGCTCACACATACTTATGGGGAGTTCCAAAATCTCATTTCCATTGTGCCAGCTCCTGTTTAGCACAAACTTGGTTTTCCAACTTTTAAATAAATTCTCTTGACAAAATAGTACTATGGCATATTGAAACAAAGCAGACATTTCAATAGGAGCATGCTGAGAGCATTGTTCCTGAATGCACACACCAGTGTTATCTTGGTGATAGCCAATGACCAGTTAAAACAAGGTAGGCCCAAGATGCCATAGAAATGTACACTTGGTTCTGACCCTTTCATGGGCTCTCCAGTGCTCTTGGATCTCCCCATTTGCTATGAGAGGGTGCACAAATGATTTGCTATTGAGAGGTCATTCTAGCTTGTTTATTCCTCTCAATAATAATAATTCATTGCAAGGACATCGAGATGCAAACGATGCCAGGCAAGCTCATAGAAAGGAGGCCACCACGGTGGGTGCTGTCAGTAATCTTCCTGCAAAGACCATAGCAGTTCTTTGGGCTGGTCTTCTTTGCTGGCCATCTGCTTTGCATTCCCTGGTGGTATTTCAGTTTGGATCTCCGGTTTGTTTGTCATTTCAGTCTCCCACTTTATTATTTCCAGAGCCAAGTGAACCGCTGCCAAAGCCAATGCAATGAGATTGCATTGAGAGCTCTGCAACATGGTATACTTTTCTTTTTATCTTGAAGCCTCAGCTCCTGGAATTAGTTGATTATGTTAGAATCCCAGCATTCATTTAAAAAAAAAAAAAAAAAAAGGAAAGTGGATCTCTGCTCCTCTGCTTCCTAAGGAAAAAAGCTTAAAAAAAAAGGATCTCTGAAGACTTAGTAATCACAGGCCAAATAAAAAGAGGCTTTTTTTCCCCCCCTTGACATCAGACTATTTTGCAGACAATCATCCTATTTCTGAATCTCTCACTCCCAGTTTTTTGAGTTCTGGGTGCTGGCAAACCTGAGAAGCAGCTGTTCCTTTCTAAAAGCAGGGAAAACAAGCAGAGTAATCTCTAACAGGAACAGTTATTTTAGCTTCGCCTGTGCTGCCTTTTCCTCTGCCCCTTCAGCCCACTCCTGCCAGTGGTCAGCAGGGCACTGGGAACCCATTGCAGCAGCTCAAAGGACCACTCACCTCCCAGAAAGTCCCAGTGAGGAACGGGAGGACAAGACTTTGTGTTAACCAGGACTGTGATTCCCTTGAGGTCAGGAGCAGCAGCAGCTGCTGCTGTCACTGACCCCATAACTTTAAATAATCTTAGCTATGGCTCTATGTGGCACATCTGAAATGTGATTAGGGCTTGCCCAGTTCTGGGGTACAGACTGTCACTCTTTCCCCAGCTAGGGGATATATTTGGGATGCAACTACTAGAGCTGGGAAGGGTCCATCATTTATATTTCTGTTTGCCTAGTGCACTGTTTTCCTGCTTTTATTTTTCAATGGGAAAAGAGAGGACACTTAAGACTGAATTTGACAAATCTGTTTGTTGGTCTGGATTTTTCATCACTCTGGGCTGGGCCCTCAGGGAAACATATTTGCTTTTATTGCTTTTTTCCGGTAACTAAATGGAATTAGCATTCCTTGCCATTGCTGGCCAATTGGATCCAGTGCACAGTGCAAATCGGTGCAAACGAAGGACAACAACACTTATTGAAGCAATGAAAAAAGGGAACTACTAAAAATTAAAAGAATAACAGAAAAGAAAATGAAGAGCCATATGTCAAACTTGTTGCTGGACTAACTTGGTAAAAGTTACAGTGCTTGATACGTCCCAGTTTTGCTGATGTGCTTTTATTTTCTCTTGGCCTGACAATTTTCTTCAGTACTTTTTTTTTTTTCCTCCTATCTGCAGATGAGATGAACACAGGAATTTTGCATATAACCTACAACAGATAGAGGAAGGGCATATGTAGAGGCACCAGTGTAGGGTTATATGGTGCACCCCCTGGCCTTTAGCTGGGAACTAATTTTACAGACCTCTGATGAACCAAACCTGACACTTCATTGGAACTTAAAGGGGAAAGTGAGGATCCTGGGCTCATAGAAGGGAGGGTAGAACAGCAAGTGAGCACGTGATAGACAAATTCTCCATGAACACAAGTATAACCTGACCTGGTAATCAGCAGTTAGTAGCTACAGAGCTTACTGCAAACAAAATTTTCTACTTTGATTCTTAGCTCCAGAATAAAATGTGGAAAGAAAGTATTCATTGCCATCTGCTAAAATCAAAGCATTTGCATACAGTTGCAAAACAACCAACTTTTTAAAGTAGAAAAACCCATTTCCACTGATCTCCAACACACAGAATTCAAAGGGAAAATCACCTGTACTGCTGCTGGAGCCTTTGTCCCACACTGGGCAGTAGAGTGCTCACTGGGAACAGTCTCCTTTGCTAAAAGGCTTTGGCAGGGAGAGGGATGGGGAAAAGCAGAAGAAGGAAAAAAAAAACTTAAAAAAAGGAAAAATGGAGAAAAGTGTCCAGAGATGGGCAACAAAGCTGATGAACGGTCTGGAGCACAAGTCTTATGAGAAGCAGCTGAGGGACCTGGGGGTGTTTTGCCTGGAGAAAAGAAGGCTCAGGGAAGATATTGTTGCTTTCCATAACTACTTGAAAGGAGGTTGTAGCCAGGTGGGGTTTGGCCTCCGCTCAGAAAAAGCGATAAGAGGAAACAGCCTCAAGTTGCACCAGGGGAGATTAAGATTGCATATTAGGAAAACATTCTTCGTGGAAAAGGTTGTCAAGCATTGGAACAGGCTGCCCAGGGAAGTGGTGTGGTCACCGTCCTCAGAGTGATGTGCAGATGTGGTACTTAGGGACGTGGTTTAGTGGAGGGCTTGGTGGTGCTGGGTAAAGAGTTGGTTTTGATGTTCTTGCTTTTAAAGGCCTTTTCCAACCTGAGTGGTTGTGTGATTCTATGAAATGTGGGGGAGAAAGGGGGGAGGAAGAGGGGGTTAGGAGGAAAGGTGATGGGAAAACGAGAGGAGACGGCGAGAAGGGGAGAACAGTGGGGTGAAAAAGAAGAAAAGTGGGGTGAACGAGAAAAGGAATAAAAGGGAGGGAAAGGAATAAAAAGGGAGGAAAGGGCGGAGGGAAGGAAAAAAAAACCAAAACCAAACCCAACAAACAACCAGAAAGACATCCCAGGAGGCAGCCGCGGTGCCGGTGCCAGCGGCAGTGGGTGCGGCCGGGGCGGGCGGAGGCGCGGGCGGGCAGGGCCGGGGCGGGCAGAGCCGGGTCGGCAGGCCCGGCCCGCCGGAGCCCCCGCGGGGCCGGGGCGCCGCGGCCGCGTGTCGGGGGCGGCGCGGCTCTGCGCGGCTCTGCGCGGCTCTGCGCCGCGGCGAGAGGCAGCGCCGCGCCCCCGCTGCCGGAGGAGCCGCTCCGCCGCCGGCCCCGCGCTCCCGCCGGCATGATCTCCTGAGGGGCCGAGCCTGCCCGCGACCCCCGCCCCGGTGAGTGCCGAGGGGGGATGCCCGGGCGGCGCTGCCCCAGCCCCGCGCTCGGACTTGGCGGAGTTTCGGCTTCTGGCCGGCGCTGCCCTCTTCGCGGGGAGCCGCGGCCCTTCGGATGCTCCGCGGGTCGCGGTCGCGGTACCCTCCGCGCATCCTTGCCTCGCATCGCTCCTTCGCATCCCTCCCTCCCTATTCGTTTTCCCAGAGGGAAAAGTGGCTCCTGGCAGCGGGCGGGCGCTGCCCGGCCCTCCGGAAGGCTCGGCCGAGCTTTGCGGGGGATGCTCTGTGCCTGCGGGGGGCGAGGCTCCCGCGGGGAAGGGACTCCTGGAAGTGACCCGCTGGGCTGGGACTGCGGGGCTTCGCGGCTGGACGGAGCTGCCGGGCTGAATGTTAACAGCGTGCGTCAGGGGGGCTGCGGAGAGGGGCTTCGGCACCTGGGAGCAGCAGGTGAAAACGGGCACAAATCAGGCTGAATCAGGAAAAAAAAAAAAAAAAAAAAGGTGTGGAGCCGCGGTGGATGGGGCGGGTACCAACAGGTGCGGCGGTCGCGGCTGATTTGGTGCCGGGGGAGGATGCCCCGACCCCGGGCTGTCCCGTGGAGCCGCTGCCGGGGCTCGGTGCCGCGGGCGGGTCCCGGACCGGCCGGGCTGAGCCCGACTGCAGAGCAGGGCTGGTGCGTGGCACCGGGAGCTCCGCAAGATGTGAACTTGGGGCTATGGAGTGCTGCTTACAGGTGAGACTAAAGCTCGAGTGTTTCGTGCGTTGTTGTTTTGTCCCTATGGGGAAAATGTATCCAGTAGCAAAAAGTTTCTAAGTAATGGATTTTCAATGAGAAGCTCCTTTCCCCGACTATTACAAGAATTTCCCAGGCTTGTTGGTTTTGTTGACAATGCACTTCGTTTTCTGGTGGTCTTCTTGGGGAGTAGCTGCTACTGCAGAAAATGCCTTTGAGTCTGCAGCGTTAAGAATGTTCGTTGAAGTGTCTTTGTTTTAGCATTTGTGAATTTCAGGTATAATATGTAAAAGGCAAATAAAAAGTCAGCCATAAATATATATCAGAATATGAAAGGGTATAAAACCCATGGAGCCAAGTGCTTCCTGTTAAGTCAACTTTTAAAACGGCTTCTCCCTAGACAGCAATTCACATTTTTCAAGGGGAGAAAGGATGGGTAAAACTGAATTGCTCAAATTAAGTCAAAATGAATTGCTTAATATTCATAGGGGTTGATAAATGAACCATTAAATCAACACTTGCATAGTGTCTCATTGAAAAGAAAAATGAACAACTCTCCATTGTGTGCTGGGCAGAATAGGTCAGCCAGTGACGTTGCTACATCAGAGTGCTGAACTGAGTCCTCCTCCTGCTAACAGATGTATTTGCTCAGTGACATTACATAGGCATGGGAACAAGCTCTCGTGCCCTCTGTGATGAGGAGCAGCATCTGCTGTAAATGACCATAATCATCCTAGCTTCATCTCGAAGGAGAGAAATCTTGGTTATGTTTCATTTGGCATAAATTAACATAATTTTGTTGACTTCTCATGTTGATGTATATCTGTTGAGAATCCACTCTTGTATTTCAAACTATGTTTTTGTTTTCTTCCTCCCCCGAGGAAGAGCTATATATCTGAATGCCAGTTTGAGGAAGAAATTATACTGATAAATGGAAAAGTAAGAGTCATCATTTTGAAACAAGGCTGAAAAGATTCCTCGTAGTAGAAGCTCTTTTCAGAGCATCACTTCTCAGCAATGCAGTGTGAGTTTTGCTTCCAAACCCTTTGATCAGCACAGGTTCAACTGTTGCAATATTCTCGTTGCCCCTCAAGAATTACCTTTGTTTTTTGCCCCTTGAAGTCTTTGAAATTCTTGAGATGGAATGCACTGAGGATGTTGACTCTATCCTTATTGTGCCTTCTGGAAACTTCTGACACTTTGTTTGAAGAGTCGTGGATCATATGCCCCTGATGTTTTTTCAGTTGCACCCCTTTGCTTTGCAGGTAACTTAGAAGAGCTAATTTTGCTTAAAGCTTTTAAAACTGAGGGCTTGACAGCTCTTTTGTTTTGTGCATGCAAACTGAGTGTTACAAAGGGGAAATTATGAAGCTTTTGATTTTTAATGCTCTGAGAAACAGATTATCCAGGCTCCAGCTGAAGGTGAGGTTGTAAATCGAGTTATGACTTGAGAAAGCTCCCTGCCTACATGTCATTTGGCCAAGAGAGAGAGCCTGTGTGCAAATCTTCAGACAGGCAGGGCCATTTATTCAGGTGTTTATAATTATATAGAAGTGTGTTATGTAATGTGGCCTGTAGCTCTTTTTTTCAGGTGTCGTGTGTGGACCCACCACACTTGCACAGATCCTTTAGGTGATGGGTTAGTAGGTGGGTGCAGTAGAAGTTGCTTGAAGGCATGGGGGACTTTATATCATCTGTGATGAAGCAGATGGACAAGTAGGTGTGTTTTGCTCACAGGAGAGGAGATTCTGGATCTGGAAATACCTTTAGTTAGTGCCTGATGGTGGTGTGGAACATTTTTCGGATGCTTTGCTATTCTTAAAGGCCAGGGTAGCTGCAGGTACTTTTGTGTACCAGCAATGTCTGGTTTTAGTAGTTTTCATTGCTTCCAATAGCCCTCAAGAATAAAAGAAGTAAAAAAGTTTTCCTGAAAACCTACTGTGCCTTGTAAGGTTGTCCTGCTGCTTCTGTTTCCTTGCTTGCTATTTTTCTCTGAAATCATAATACATTTCTTTAGTTCTTTTGATAAAGACTTGAACTCAAGCTTGCTGAAATGGTCACTCTATGCTGAGAAAGTGCTGGCATCTTATTGACTTATTTTGGGAATACTGGAGGAAAATATACAAGATTCACTTGCATTGATTAAATCCTCCAGGGCAATCTTCTAACACTGCAGTACTCTAGGTGAAAAATTAACTTTCTTCATTGTCTACTCCTGCTTTTATTTAATTTGTGTGAATCCCAGGCTCTGTTACCAGTTTAAATCGAGTCCTTTAGGTGTGCTTGAAATGGAAAGTATTTCAGCTTAAAAGCTCACGCACACTATCACTCTCTGAGTCCATTTGTCTCTGGCCACCAGCAAATGCCTTGGTCCTGTCAGCCCCAGGACAGTAACAGAGGCAGGATTTGCACCAGCCCACAGTTCCTCACCTGTGAAATGTTTCCTGGGTGATTGTAAAAAACCCCAAACAACTATTGACAGCTACCTTGATGCTTTTCTGGAGGTTTTGGCAAGATAGCACTTTAGGTGCAGCTTAATGACAAACTTTGATTTATTAAGTAACTGAAAATGTTTGGAATTTTGGATGCGGAGTGAAAGCATAGGAGCTTTCTGCATTTCATCTGCAGCTTTTCTAGCACAGTGTACAGCTAACAGCTTGTCTCTCATTTATTTTAATAACAGATTTCTGCTGAGTATACCTGGAGTTGTTTTAAAACATACTAACTTTTTTTGGGGGGGGCAAACTTTTAGGTTACTAAACACAGTAAAGAACTTCGCAATGTCTGTTTATATAACCTTGAAAAATCTTATGTTTTAGCTACTTTTTATGTTTTCCCGCTCCCAGGGTTTAAAATGGATCCTATGGGAGGGCTGGTATTTTTTCCAGTTTGGGGCTAAATATTTAAAAGAAAGCTTTCCCTTGCCCACTGATCAAGGGCTGGTATGAGTAGTGTATCTGTGCATTTTCCCTGTGAATTCTGTGCTTTCTTCCCCTCTGCCTCAATCAGCTGTGCTCAATAACAAGCCACGTCCAGGTGAGCTGTATCTGACTAGTTTGGAAGAGGTTCAAAAGGATCCCACTGACATTACCAGGCAGTGGGTCACCCTTGAAATCTTGCCATTCTGGCATCAAACCTTTTTTCTTTTCTTCATTCCCACCTTGGTTCCTGATGTATTTTTAGCTGCTGTTCTGTTGAATTTGAATAGAGCTAGTGAAAATGGATGTGGTATTTGGTTGATGTGTTTGTTTGTTTTTTTTTTTCCTTTGGCAAATAGGGAGTTTTATTTTTCACTAAAGATGGAGCCCTAGGGTGATTATCTGCTTGTCTGCTTAGCAAGAAAAGGTACTGGTTCATCATGGAGGTGAAAACTTTGTAAAATCTCAGCATCACCACTCATTTCAACCATAGAATCTGATATGGACATTGTGATTTTATTATTTTTATTATTTTAATTTAATTATGGTATTAAAATTGAGCTGCTGCACAGAGAGCTCCCTTAATCTAATGCATTGTAGAGTGGTAAGCTGGTCGTATTGCACATACCTATTATTTCCCTTCTTTGTCCCGAGGAAACTGTAGGGTTTGTCAGGTCAGGTGCTGGAGAATTACTGTGAATGCAGAAGAGCAGTGCTGGGACCACGTCGAGGGTTATGTTGTCCACTGCTGGGATGAGCCAAGATTTGCTATGGCCACCCCAGCAGATGAAATGCTGGTGTAGTGTTTTTATCTGTTCCTTGTTTGGAAGACACATGAGCAGTTAGACAGCCTCATTTCTTCTTTGGAAGCGTAGCACTGAGGGCAAACCATCCAGCTAAAATCTTTCCTCCCTTCTCTGGAGGTGTCCCTGGTCTGTAGCTGAGGTACAGCTCTCCTCACCTCAGCAGATGTTGGCACCATCCTGCTCAGCCCTCAGCCGAGCCGTGGGGGTTGGCTTTTTTGTAGTGTTAGCCTGAGAAATAAAGTTTGTTCCTGTGCAGTCCTGGCGCGACTGAAGAACCTCTTGCTTCAGGCAGCTCTGTTACTCTCTGTAGTGCTTGGATTGCTCAGCAGAGGGAGAACAGACCATAACGCAGAAGGCACCCAAAACCAGCCAGAGCCACATCTCTCTGACAGACAGCAGGGACAGGAGCCCCGAAGCCTCCCTCCCTGTGTGATTTTTTTTTTTCTCTTCCCTTCTTGTTTTGACATTCAGAGCTAAGCTGTGATTTTTCACCCCTTCATCAAAAGTAGCTGCCTCAATCTGTAGGTTAATGGGCTATTTCAG